CTACAGGCGCCCGCCACAACGCCTGGCCATTTTTTGGTTGCAGCCATCATTGTTGTTTGGTGGGCCCGGGCTGGGGATTCAAACCCGCCACCGTAGGTGTATGTGGCTGGCACCTTAGCCGCTTGAGCCACAGGCGCCGAGCCAGAATATAAATGTCTTAATATAAAATATAATAACTAAGAAAATGCCGTGAAGGCTATGTTAACCAGTTTGATGAAAATATTTCAAATTGTATATAAAACCAGCACATTGTGCCCATGATTACATTGATGTACACAGTTATGAATAAATTAAATAAAAAAAAGAAAAAGAAAGTCCTACTGGATAGCACTGTGCTGGAGAATGGAACACTTCTATGCAATGGATTTAGTTTCAACGGAAGGATCTGGTTTCATTACCACTTTTTATTTATTTTTTTTTTTGAGACAGAGCCTCAAGCTGTCCCCCTGGGTAGAGTGCAGTGGCATCACAGCTCACAGCAACCTTCAATTCCTGGGCTCAAGCGAGTCTCCTGCCTCCGCCTCCCAAGTAGCTGGAACCACAGGCACCCACCACAACATCCAGCTATTTTTTTGTTGCAGCTGTCACTGTTTGGTGGGCCCGGGATGGATTCGAACCCACCACCTTAGGTGTATGTGTCTGGTGCCTTAGCCATTTGAGCCACAGGTGCCAAATCCCATTACCACTAACTTTTAAAAAAGTTTATAAAGTCATTAAATACACAGTTAAAAGAGGCACACATGAATTCTTTTTACCTACCTGCAAGAACCACTTTTAGAGATGTTTAAGACTGTTCCACCTATAGATTCATTGATCTCTGTTGATAAATTCTTGGTTAGAAGATTCACAGATACTGGAACTCTATAAAAAAGATACATGTATTCACAGCACAATGCAAATACACCTAAAATTTCATGCTGCTGAACCCCAATCATTGCTAAGAAACTTACTTCTTTCTTTGATAGAAATGTCTTCCAATGTGTGTGGGTAAAAGCCGCCTAATTCTGGCATCAGTAAGGAAAAAGTCAAAACTACTCATAAGGCGGAGCTTGGCTTCATAGGGTTTATATTCCTTTTTTAAAGTTTGGAGTGGTATAATCTAGAAAACACAGGAGAAGTAAAAATAAAAAGCTGAGAACCTGAACAAGGAAAAGAAATACTTAGGCAACAATTTGTATTTGGATTCAAAAAACATCCTAAATCCATGCCGTTCATAGTTTGGTGAACGTGAATACCTAAAACATGCCAGGCACTCTGGTACGTGCTGGGGACACCAACACAAATGAAAAAGCACCCCAGCTATTAGATCCAGGGATAATAAAGACAAGTACATCAACCACAAAATAAGGTGAGTCAGAGGCAAACAAAAGATGCTCTGTAGGCGGCACCTGTGACTCAGGCACCAGCCCCATATACTGAGGGTGGCGGGTTCAAACCCAGCCCCGGCCAAACTGCAACAGAAATATAGCTGGGTGTTGTGGCAGGTGCCTGTAGTCTCAGCTACTTGGAAGGCTGAGACAGGAGAATCACCTAAGCCCAGGAGTTGGAGGTTGCTGTGAGCTTTGCACCAGCCCCATATACTGAGGGTGGCGGGTTCAAACCCAGCCCCGGCCAAACTGCAACAGAAATATAGCTGGGTGTTGTGGCAGGGGCCTGTAGTCTCAGCTACTTGGAAGGCTGAGACAGGAGAATCACCTAAGCCCAGGAGTTGGAGGTTGCTGTGAGCTTTGATACCACAACACTCTACCGAGGGTGATAAAGTGAGACTCTGTCTCTACAAAAAAAAAAGAAAGAAAAGAAAAGATGCTCTGCAAGCACAGAGGAATGACATGAGTAACTTTTTCCTGTGAGATCTAACCTATTGGTGTACACATTTATTTATTTATTTAGAGACAGTCTTACTCTGTTGCTCTGGTAGAGTGCGGTGATGTCAGCCTAGCTCACAGCAATTTTCAACCTTAAACTCCTGGGTTCAAGCAATCCTGTGCCTCAGCCTCCTGAGTAGCTGGAACTACAGTGCCGGCCGAAATGCCTGACTAGTTTTTTTCTATTGAGCTCAAATAATTCCTCTATTGAGCTTCAGCCTCTCAGAGTGTTAGGATTATAGGTATAAGCCACCGTGCCTGGTCATGATGTTAGGCCAAGAAAACATAACAGCTCCTTTATCATAGGCAAGATAAAATACACTCTGCCTAAAGCTACCAAGAATTAAATTAAAAAGAGAAAAAAGTACTAGGAAAGATAGTAATGTATTTATTACTTATTTCAACTGAATTAAACCTTCTAAATAACCTGAAAGTATCAACCAGCCTACCCGAGATATGGTTTTAATGCCATGCTTGTTCAAAAGCTTTCTATAGAAACGTTCTGTCTGTTCAGGAGTTTTATTGGGTTCATCCTTGGTAAATAAACAAATTTCTTCTAAATCTGATCGAATACCATGAGGCAAGGGCCTGTAAAATACATGAGAAGGAACCAAGGAGGAAAACATTATTTCAGATGGTATGTATGTTTATATTACAAAGAATACAATACATTTACTGTTATTTTAATAATCTTCATGCTATTGAAGCAAACACTCCACCAAGAACATTTAAAAATACAACTAGTCTTCCATAATACAGAGATGAAATTTAAGACTCAAGTGCATCACAAATACCAGAGACCCAAATAACAACACTTGGGATATAATGAGAATTAAAATATAAACAAAGACACTTGAATTCTTTTTTTTTTGAGACATAGTCTCATTATGTCACCCTTGGTAGAGAGCCATGACATCACAGTTCACAGCAACCTCAAACTCCTGGGCTTAAGCAATTCTCTTGCCTCAGCCTCCCAGTAAGTAGCTGGGACTACAGGTGCCCCTCACAATGCCAGGCTATTTTTTGTTGTTGTCATTGTTGTTTAGATGGTCTGGGCCAAGTTCGAACCACCAGCCTTGGTGTATGTGGCTGGCGCCATAACCTTTGTGCTATGGGTGCTGAGCTGAATTTTTTTCTTTTTGAGACAGAGTTTTAGTTTGTCTCTGTTAGTAAAGTGCCATGGTGTCACAGCAACCTGAAACTCTCGGGCTCTAGAGATCTTTTTGCCTCAGCCTCCCTAGAAGCTGGGCCTAGAAGTGCCTGCCCCAATGCTCTGCTATTTTTAGAGATGGGGTCCTACTTTAGCTCAGACCGGGCCTATTGTTAGAGATTGGGTCTCACTCTAGTTCAAGTGGATCTCCAACTCTTGAGCTCAGGCCATCCATCCACCTCAGCCTCCCAGAGTGCTAGGATTACAGGTGTAAGCCACTTGCATATGTAATTTATTATTATATATGTTACTCTATGTGCACGTGTACTCTAATGTGCCAGAATAACCTAGCTTCATCAGGACAGTCTTAGTTCAGAATTTACTTTCTGGAAAACTCTTAGCTCCACAAACAATGTAACACTCAAGAGTTGAAACAGAAAACATGGAGTAAATCAACAGGAATTAGCAAAGATATACTATTATGCCAAGTCTTAAAAAAAAAAAGTTTAACTCATTTCTCAGGCCCACATTCATGTTCTAAAGAAATATTTCCTTAGTTTAAGAATGTTACATCACCGCCTGTGGCTCAGTGAGTAGGGCAC